ACCTCCAGGGGGCCCACATTGAATTTGTTAGTCATTCTAACTCAGATATCATATATAACTCCCGAGTGGTGCAGTGGTCTAAGGCACTGCATTGTGCTAGCTGTGCCACTAGAGATCCTGGTTCGAATCCAGGCTCTGTCGTGACCGGGAGACCCATGGGGCGGCGCACAATTGGCCCAGGGTAGGGGAGGGAATGGCCGGCAGGGATGTAGCTCAGTTGGTAGAGCATGGCGTTTGCAACGGCAGGGTTGTGGGTTCGATTCCCACAGGGGGACAGTATAAAAAAATAATGTATGCAGTTACTAAACTGTAAATCGCTCTGGATAAGGGCGTCTGCTAAATGACTTAAATTTAAATGTTAAATGTAAACGAGGCATAAGTCATTACAAAATCAGTAGAATTGCAGGAAATGTGCTGTAAAACCGCAAATGTTTTATCTGCCCCATGGCAAAATGAGTAGATTTACATGAAATGTGTTATAAAATTGCAGTTCTCTCTGCCCCATGGCAAATTGTGTAGAACTGCGGGAAATGAAGTTTAAAACAAAAAATTATCTCCACCGATGGGGGGCCTAAAATGTTTTGCAGTGATGTGGGGGGCCCTCCAACCAAAACTTGCTTAGGGCCCCCAAAAGGCTAGAGCTGGCACTGCATTTTACTGTTAATCTACACCTGTTGTTTATGAAGCATGTGACAAATACATTTGATTTGAGTTACCCTAGACTTCCAGTCATTGCGCTAACACTAGTTAGCAACTTATTTAAACCGCAAACAGAGACAATTGCGCTAACAGCAACTTCTATCAAACTGCATGCAGAGACATAAAAATGGTATCCACGAGTTCATCTAACTCTGGGAAAGTAGTTAAAGGGTTTCATTTCCAAAATTCTGAAGTATCCCTTCACTATGGCTAGACCTATACGCTTAAACTCCGGGGGCATATTCATTACGCTGATTCTGTTGCAAAACGTTTCTTAAACGAAAGCAAACGGAACCAAACGGGGAAGGACCTTCCTGAATTTGTCCAATAGAAACTCTCGTTTTAGCAACTGTTTGGCTAACGATTACACCTCTGTCTCTCCTTCCCTCGAACCAGGGCCTCCACTGCAAGGACAGTGTTTAATACCGTAACGCAATGGCCAGCCCCCTGATTTGAAATGTGATTTAAAAAATATAACGGCTATGATAAACTCACCCTCTAATAGTCGGGCGATCAGCGAGTCGACGTCCAATTCCCCCTCAGCCATTTCTGTAGTGGGTGGTGCTGTCAGACAGCACTCTCTCTCTCCACTGCTCACTGCTCACTGCTGCCACGGTCCCTGGAAGGCACCGCCTGAACACCGCCGCGGACTCACAGCCAGCGGAATGCACGCTCCCGGGTCTCTCCGCCCGAAGTTGTTTTGTACTGGTAAAACACTGTAGACCTATAGTATAGGCCTATAATGCCACAGGTTCATGGTAATAACACAGCTAAGAACATGTAGGCCTAATCAAAACAGGTGTATGCTAGTGTCTGTGTGTTATAAATCAATAGCAAATATGCAGAAATAGCCTAATTAACCTATTGAATGAAATCCAATAAAGGCCTATGCATAATGATGATTAGCCATGGCCATATTTCAGTAAAGGGCATTGCAATTAGCAATTTCTTAATTCATTGTGTAATGCTTATACTGTTTTATAATTTATTTTTTACATATAAAATTGAGTAGCCTAAATCATAAAAAAAATTAACATCTCAGTAGTCTATTTGTGAACCACTTCAAAATTAATGGGTGAATTAAATTGATTAACATTACTGGAAATCTTATACTGGTTTGTTTTTATTACTCCTGCAGTGGGATATTTGATTTGTCTTGGATTTGAGAACTGAAAGTCTCGCGTAATTGGTCAGATGCTGGATTAAAAGTATCATCATGTTTATGTAGTCTGTCCACGAGAGATTATGGAGATTTGAGAGGGCGATGGGTCAACTGTCGATACCAAACTTGGCTTTTGGCGCTTCCCTCTGGCCATTTGGCGCACTGCATGGTCCAATAGCCGGAGTAGTGCACTAGTATAAATGTGTACACTGTGGTGCCTTTACCTCTATCCAAGACATAATAGGTTACCAATCTATGTTATATATACTGAACAAAAATATAAAAGCAACATGCAACAATTTCAACGATTTTACTGAATTACAGTTCATATAAGGAAATAGTCAATTGAAATACATTAATTAGGCCCTAATCTATGTATTTCACATGAATGGGCAGGGGCGCAGCCATAGGTGGGCCTGGGAGGGCATAGGCCCACCCACTTGGGAGCCAGGCTCAGCCACTGGGGGGCTGGGCCCAGCCAATTAGAATGAGTTTTTCCCCAAGAAAGGGCTTTATTACAGACAGAAATACTCAGTTTCATCAGCTGTCCGGGTGATGGTCTCAGATTATCCCGCAGGTGAAGAAGCCGGACGTGGAGGTCCTGGGCTGGCGTGGTTACACGTGGTCTGCCGTTGTGAGGTCGTACTGCCACATTTTCTAAAACAATGTTGGAGGCGGCTTATGGTAGAGAAATTAACATTACATTATCTGGTAACAGCTCTAGTGGACATTCCTGCAGTCAGCATGCCAATTGTGCGTTCCCTCAAACTTGACACATCTGTGGTATAGTGTTGTGTGCCAAAACAGCACATTTAAGAGTGGCCTTTTATTGTCCCCATCACAGGGTGCACCTGTGTAAAGATCATGCTGTTTAATCAGCTTGTTGATATGCTTCACCTGTCAGGTGGATGGATTATTGGCAAATGATAAATTCAGGGATGTAAACAAATTTCAGCACAAAATTTGAGAGAAATAAGCTTTTTATGCACATGGAACATTTCTCTGATCTTTTATTTCAGCTCGTGAAACATGGGACCAACACTTTACATGTTGCGTTTATATTTTTGTTCAGTGTATATAGCCTACATGTACAAGAAACTACATATAGCTTATAGGGAATTGGGCTTTTTATGGGCAAAATAATGAGACCACATGCCGGTAGTCCACTGGCCTCCCACTGGGCACACACTGGTTGAATCAATGTTGTTTCCACATAATTTCAATGAAATGACGTTGAACCAATGTGGAATAGACGTTGAATTGACATCGATGCCCAGTGGGCGAGTTGTGTAGCTTATAACAGGGATTCCCAAACTTTTTCACTCAGGCCCAGCATTGGGGAACATCTCACGCTAGTTGATCTGGACATTTCTGACAAGTTATAAATAGCTCTCTAAGGTATGGAATGACAGACATGACAAGAGGAAAACTGATGATGCACTACCCAATTTCAAAATTGCACCTTGTGCATTCTACTATTATAACTTTCAAGAGTAAGTTGAAAGCTGGACTGGGTTCCTTAAAAACATATATACAGTACCAGTCAAAAGTTTGGATACACTTACTCATTCAAGGGTTTTTCTTTATTTTTACTATTTTCTACGTTGTAGAATAATAGTGAAGACATCAAAACTATGAAACGACGCATATGGAATCATGTAGTAACCAAAAAAGTGTTAAACAAATCAAAATATATTAAATATTTTAGATTCTTCAAAGTAGCCACCCTTTGCCTTGATGACAGCTTTGAGGAATGCTTTTCCAACAGTCTTGAAGGAGTTCCCACATATGCTGAGAACTTGTTGGCTGCTTTTCCTTCACTCTGTGGTCCAACTCATCCCAAACCATCTCAATTGGGTTGAGGTTGGGTGATTGTGGAAGCCAGGTCATCTGATGCAGCACTCCATCACTCTCCTTCTTAGTAAAATAGCCCTTACACAGCCTGGAGGTGTGTTGGGTCATTGTCCTGTTGAAAAACAAATGATAGTCCCACTAAGCGCAAACCAGATGGGATGGCGTATCACTGCAGAATGCTGTGGTAGCCATGCTGGTTAAGTGTGCCTTGAATTCTAAATAAATCACAGACAGTGTCATCAGCAAAGTACCCCCACACCATCACACCTCCTCCTCCATGCTCCACAGTGGGAACCACACATGCGGAGATCATCCGTTCACCTACTCTGCGTCTCACAAAGAGTTGGAACCAAAAATCTCAAATTTGGACTCATCAGACCAAAGGACAGATTTCCACTGTTCTAATGTCCAATGCTCGTGTTTCTTGGCCCAAGCAAGTATTTTCTTCTTATTGGTGTCCTTTAGTAGTGGTTTCTTTGCAGCAATTCGAACATGAAGGCCTGATTCATGCAGTCTCCTCTGAACAGTTGATGTTGAGATGTGTCTGTTACTCTGTGAAGCATTTATTTGGGCTGCAATTTCTGAGGCTGGTAACTCTAATGAACTTATCCTCTGCAGCAGAGGTAACTCTGGGTCTTCCTTTCCTGTGGTGGTCCTCATGAGAGCCAGTTTCATCATAGCGCTTGATGGTTTTTGCCACTGCACTTGAAGAAACTTTCAAAGTTCTTGACATTTTCCGGATTGACTGACCTTCATGTCTTAAAGTAATGATGGACTGTAGTTTCTCTTTGCTTATTTGAGCTGTTCTTGCCATAATATGGACTTGGTATTTTACCAAATAGGGCTATCTTCTGTATACACAACACAACCGATTTGCTTAAACACATTAAGAAGGAAAGAAATTCCACAAATGCACTTTTAACAAGGCACAAATGTTAATTGAAAAGCATTCCAGATGACTACCTCATGAAGCTGGTTGACAGAATGCCAAGAGTGTGCAAAGCTGTCATCAAGGGAAAGGGTGGCTACTTTGAAGAATGTCAAATATAAAATATAATTTGATTTGTTTAACACTTTTTTGGTTACTACATGATTCCATATGTGTTATTTCATAGTTTTGATGTCTTCACTATTATTCTACAATGTAGAAAATAGTAAAACTAAAGAAAAACCCTTGACTGAGTAGGTGTGTCCAAACTTTTGACTGGTACCCCCGCCTACGAAACCAATATACATTTTATGTTCCTTTACGTCATTTGGGTATTTCCGCCCCATTTTCGGGGGCGGTGGCAAGTTGCATTGGAGACTTGAAGGCGGAGGTGGCTAAAAAAGCGATCTGTCACGACAAGTTTACTAATTTACCTGTTTTCAAGGGACAAACACCCTGAGGCTATTCCAATAACCGACGTGGCAGAAGTTGAAGTCGGAAATGGATGGTAAGTTTGTTTACAAACTGATCCTCAAAGTAAATGCATTTTCGAGTCTCGTGTGAAGCTTAGCCACTTGTTTGCGCATAAGGGCAGCCCTGATACCATTTGTTTTGTACTACCGCAGGAGGAGTCAATAAACATAATGGAGATCACTGTCCGCGACTTGCCAGCAATGTAGCCTGCTAGGAAGTTGGACATGATTTGAGATAGGACTACATCTATTATAGATGTATTATTTTACATTATATCTAGTAGAACGTGATCTCTCGTGACATTGAAGTTGTATAGGCTATCAGGAGCCTATCTGCACATTATGGATGCCTTTTTATCCTAACACTAGGGTAGTGCGACAGTCAAGAGGCCTAGGCTACGCGGTTCTCCGAGATATTTCACTTCTATGACCATACAACGTTGTTGACGCTTAGCGTAATTATTAAGGGGACAATGGCCCCGATATTACGTCATCGTGTGAACAAATCATTGCATATCCCAATTTGATAGATGTAGCTGTATGTTACATGCCTAAATGTTTACAATTTATGACATTTAAGAAATCGTCCTACGTCGTCACGAGGTTTTGAGCTGATAGGTTAATAACAGATTAATAAAGCAACGCAACAACAATGTGACTCAAAGTTACATTGTACCTAGTAGGCTTGAAGGTCGAACATCAACAATGTGGATACTTTGTAACCAAATCAGTGCGACAACACCACTGAGGTATGGACAACACACATGCGCGAGGCGCGTCTCAGAAATTTGCCCCTCACAAAAAGCAAACGTTCTTGTAATATGTCACGTGTGGGACGTAAGCACTTTGTGACATCTGCTGATTTAAAAAGTGCTTTATAAATACATTTGATTTGATGAGCTTTCACTTTCACTTTCACTAATTAATTAACCTCTTGTCAATATAGGGTAAGTTGTACATGTATTCGTTCCTGCTGCATTATTTACATTGGCTTACACAGGAGTATGAAAATCGAGTAATATACTGTTTTATCAGGAGTTGAAAATCATTGACAAAGTTAACTATACAATCATCAAAGCTAAAACATAAGTGAGGCTTTGAAAGCTTTATAAAAATGTTAATGTCATGTAATAACACTCAACTCAATCAATGCTCAAACACCATGTGTGATCAATCTTGTCTACCCAGTTGATGCAGAATCGACCATAGACTATCAAGGAAGAAACAGTTTCCAGTCTTTTTTTGAACTAGAACAAGTCTGTATTGTAGATGTGTTCTATAAACCGACTGCTCTATTGAACTATTTCAGACGTGATAGAAGTGATGTCAGGTGGTAAAAATAATGGTAATCTGACACCCTTTATTGACCCGGTGTTTACTTTTCTTTATTAATCCGCAGTACACTTTCAGGCCAATCCTGGCAGGTCAGACATTATGAGCAATTACACCTTGCCTGCTATTGTGTTTTAGAGGAACCTCCTTTGTTTTCAATGCATTTAGCTTTGCATTCAAGCTATTAAAGGGGAAGTTCACCCAAAAACACTCCTGGGCCCTTTATAACACTTGCCTGGCCATTTGTCATCACCCCAGACAGTTTTTAGGTCCATTGCTTGAGTATTTAGATTTCTGTATTTGTATATAAAAATGCTACTTTTAAGGTTAAGGTTAGAGTTAAAATCACATTTTAAGAAGAGAAATTGTAGAGATCAAATCAAATTTTATTTGTCACGTGCCGAATACAAAAGGTATAGATAGACCTTACCGTGAAATGCTGACTTACAAGCCCTTAACCAACAATGCAGTTCAATAAATAAAGTTAAGAAAATATTTACTAAATAAACTAAAGTTACAAAAAATTAAAAATTAAAAAGTACATAACAATAACGAGGCTATATACAGGGGGTACCGGTACCGAGTAAATGTGCGGGGGTACAGGTTAGTCAAGGTCATTTGTAAAGTGACTATGCATAGATAATAAACAGCAAGTAGCAGCAGTGTAAAAACGGGGGGGGGGGGGGTGTCAATGTAAATAGTCCAGGAGGCTATTTGATTAATTGTTCAGCAGTCTTATGGCTTGGGGGTAGAAGCTGTTAAAGAGCCTTTTGGTCCTAGACTTGGCGCTCCGGTACCGCTTGCCGTGCGGTAGCAGAGAGAACAGTCTATGACTTGGGTGACTGGAGTCTTTGAAATTTTTTGGGCCTTCCTTTTTTGATACCGCCTAGTATATAGGTCCTGGATGTCAGGAAGCTTGGCCCCAGTGATGTACTGTGCCGTACGCACTACCCTCTGTAGCGCCTTAAGGTCAGATGCCGAGCAGTTGCCATACCAGGCGGTGATGCAACCGGTCAGGATGCTCTCTAGTGCAGCTACAGAACTTTTTGAGGATCTGGGGACCCATGCCAAATCTTTTCAGTCTCCTGAGGGGGAAAAGGTGTTGTCGTGCCCTCTTCACAACTGTCTTGGTGTGTTTGGACCATGATAGTTTGTTGGTGAAGAGGACACCAAGGAACTTGAAGCTCTCGACCCGCTCCACTTCAGCCCCGTTGATGTTAATGGGGGCCTGTTCAGCCCTCCATTTCCTATAGTCTACAATCATCTCCTTTGTCTTGCTCACATTGAGGGAGAGGTTGTTGTCCTGGCACCATACTGCCAGGTCTCTGACCTCCTCCCTATAGGCTGTCTCATTGTTGTCGGTGATCAGGCCTACCACTGTTGTGTCGTCGGCAAACTTAATGATGGTATTGGAGTCGTGCTTGGCCACGCAGTCGTGGGTGAACAGGGAGTACAGGAGGGTACTAAGCACACACCCCTGAGGGGCCCCAGTGTTGAGGATCAGCGTGGCAGATGTGTTGTTGCCTACCCTTACCACCTGGGGGCGGCCCGTCAGGAAGTCCAGGATCCAGTTGCAGAGGGAGGTGTTTAGTCCCAGGGTCCTTAGCTTAGTGATGAGCTTTGTGGGCACTATGGTGTTGAACGCTGAGCTGTAGTCAATGAACAGCATTCTCACATAGGTGTTCCTTTTGTCCACAGCACTTCATGGCTACCGACGTGAGGGCTACGGAGCGGTAATCATTTAGGCAGGTTACCTTTGCTTTCTTGGGCACATGGACTATGGTGGTCTGTTTGAAACATGTAGGTATTACAGACTCGGTCAGGGAGAGGTTGAAAATGTCAGTGAAAACACTTGCCAGTTGGTCCGCGCATGCTTTGAGTACACGTCCCGATAATCCGTCTGGCCCGCGGCTTTGTGAATCAGCTACGGAGAGCATGATCACACAGTCGTCCGGAACAGCTGGTGCTCTCATGCATGCTTCAGTGTTGCTAGCCTCAAAGCGAGCATAAAATATATTTAGCTTGTCTGGTAGGCTCGCGTCACTGGGCAGCTCGCGGCTGGGTTTCCCTTCGTAGTCTGTAATATTTTTCAAGCCCTGCCACATCCGAGGAGCGTCAGAGCCACTGTAGTAGGATTCAATCTTAGGCAGGCTTTATGACTTTGTGACATTGTGGCTGTGGTAACTAGTCATGACCCGACTCACGGAGCGCATTAATCTACTTCCTGGATTTCAATACAAAAATAGGGGGTAGAATTCGCTTATAAGCTACGTCTAAATCAGGGTTTCCCAAACTCTGTCCTCAGGACCCCAAGGGGTGCACGTTTTGTTATTTGCCACATTTTGGTTTTTGAAGGGTCTTGGGCCCTCAAACTCAACTCTGGACCTTGAAGCCAGTTCCACTGCATTTTTTTCATTGTTCCCCTCTAATCAGGGACTAATTTAGACCTGGGACTCCAGGTGGGTGCAATTAATTACCAGGTAGAACAGAAAACCATCAAGCTCCGGACCTCATAGCGTAAGAGTTGAGTACCCCTGGTCTAGCGTGATGACAAATGGCAGGCAAGTGTTTATAAAGGGCCCATAAGTTTTTTGGGGTGAACTTCCCCTTTAACTTCTACTTTTAGTTAACACCCTTCTGGTTATGGAGAAGGAGCTGAATTTGTACCGCTAAGCTGTTGTGATCTTCAACGTCACCAATTCTTGTCTGCCTTTTCTCATCAGAGAATAGTTGAGGGGAATTATGGGTTGTGGATTTTGGTTGATCATCGTTTCTTACTGACTTATTTGTTCTAGTAAATGTTTTGTGTCAATTTCTCCCATCTCCATAGGAATGTATGGATGGGTACAGCCCCCTTTGAACCAAGGTAAGGAGAGTTACAGTGGGGGAAAAAAGTATTTAGTCAGCCACCAATTGTGCAAGTTCTCCCACTTAAAAAGATGAGAGAGGCCTGTAATTTTCATCATAGGTACACGTCAACTATGACAGACAAATTAAGAAAAAAGAATCCAGAAAATCACATTGTAGGATTTTTTATGAATTTATTTGCAAATTATGGTGGAAAATAAGTATTTGGTCACCTACAAACAAACAAGATTTCTGGCTCTCACAGACCTGTAACTTCTTCTTTAAGAGGCTCCTCTGTCCTCCACTCGTTACCTGTATTAATGGCACCTGTTTGAACTTGTTATCAGTATAAAAGACACCTGTCCACAACCTCAAACAGTCACACTCCAAACTCCACTATGGCCAAGACCAAAGAGCTGTCAAAGGACACCAGAAACAAGTTCATCACAAGAACGGTGAGCAAAAATCCCAGAACCACACGGGGGACCTTGTGAATGACCTGCAGAGAGCTGGGACCAAAGTAACAAAGCCTACCATCAGTAACACACTACGCCGCCAGGGACTCAAATCCTGCAGTGCCAGACGTATGCCCCTGCTTAAGCCAGTACATGTCCAGGCCCGTCTGAAGTTTGCTAGAGTGCATTTGGATGATCCAGAAGAGGATTGGGAGAATGTCATATGGTCAGATGAAACCAAAATAGAACTTTTTGGTAAAAACTCAACTCGTCGTGTTTGGAGGACAAAGAATGCTGAGTTGCATCCAAAGAACACCATACCTACTGTGAAGCATGGGGGTGGAAACATCATGCTTTGGGGCTGTTTTTCTGCAAAGGGACCAGGACGACTGATCCGTGTAAAGGAAAGAATGAATGGGGCCATGTATCGTGAGATTTTGAGTGAAAACCTCCTTCCATCAGCAAGGGCATTGAAGATGAAACGTGGCTGGGTCTTTCAGCATGACAATGATCCCAAACACACCGCCCGGGCAACGAAGGAGTGGCTTCGTAAGAAGCATTTCAAGGTCCTGGAGTGGCCTAGCCAGTCTCCAGATCTCAACCCCATAGAAAATCTTTGGAGGGAGTTGAAAGTCTGTGTTGCCCAGCGACAGCCCCAAAACATCACTGCTCTAGAGGAGATCTGCATGGAGGAATGGGCCAAAATACCAGCAACAGTGTGTGAAAACCTTGTGAAGACTTACAGAAAACGTTTGACCTGTGTCATTGCCAACAAAGGGTATATAACAAAGTATTGAGAAACTTTTGTTATTGACCAAATACTTATTTTCCACCATAATTTGCAAATAAATTCATAAAAAATCCTACAATGTGATTTTCTGGATTTTTTTTCCGCATTTTGTCTGTCATAGTTGACGTGTACCTATGATGGAAATTACAGGCCTCTCTCATCTTTTTAAGTGGGAGAACTTGCATAATTGGTGGCTGACTAAATACTTCCCCCCCCCCGCTGTATATCACGCTGTGTACCTGTTTTCTGTTTGTCTCCACTGTTGACTTTCTGTCTTCTCTCTCATCATGACTGCATTCACTTGAAGCATCAGCTTTGCTTTGAAACACATACTGACATACATACACTGCTCTTTCCATGACATAGACTGACCAGGTGGATCCAGGTGAAAGCTATGATTCCCTTATTGATGTCACCTGTTACATCCAGCAGTAGCGGTGCGTGGGTAAAATCACTGGGGAAGCCAAGACAGAAATGTTTCATCACATAACCGGAGAGCAACCTCTCTCCGGTGAAATCCACAAATCATATTGCATGTAACAAACAGTTACATGACCTACAGCATGGTCAAGCAAGTTAATGTTTCCGACATTTTCGGACTACTATACAACTATTGATTTAGAACCACGGAGAGTTACCACAAGTCGCAAAGAAAACAGGAGCTGCCTCCACTATTCCAGCACCATTTCAATTTCAACATTTCATCATCATCAAATCACCTATGCTTAGTCTAATACAGTGGTAACTAAAAGATACCAAAAACAATTTAGTCCAATCAACGTAAGCTAAATATGATGTGGCTGTCCATGGTTCTGATTTCTGTGTGTGTGCGTGCAAGTAGAAAAAACATGTTGGATCACCCTACTTGTTGAGAAATGCCAATGCCATCCTCCTCTCTTTCATTTTGACGAAAAGGTCTATGACTGTGATACAGTACACGTCACGCTTAAATGTTTTGTTGTCCTAGGCTACCTCGCTAGCCTAACTTCCTTTAATGGGCAACGTTAGCTAGTTAACATTAGCCTTCTACATCAAGCTAAATATTGAACTTCCATCGTCTCAGGCCAGGGGCACAATGTATGAATTTATGGTGGGATCAGAATCGCCGTTATAATCATTGGCCAGTACGGAGAATTAAGTAAAACCACATGTCCAAATCCCTATCTCCATCCATGGCTAATTTAGGAAAGGGATCATTTTAGCTAGCTAGCTAGCCACCGGAGGACAACAACACAAAGAAATGGAACAATTCAAGTTGTTTCTGTCAATGACGTAATGCTCTCGATGTGATGTGATTGGAGTGAAGCCAAATCCAAACTGGCTTCCCTTAACACTTTTTTTTGGTGCGTCAGGACCATTCACAGTTGAGCTCACTCAGTTTAGCTCAACGCTGAGTGGCTATTATTTTATACTTTTTTATTAATCAAGGTAGGACAAATGCTCGCTGGCTTCCCTTACATTCAACGCTATGGGTGGCAACAATGTCATACTCGTTTTGACCAGACAGCATCAGATAGATGGCCTACACATACAGAGACAGAGGGGCGCTGTTTCTCTCGCTCGGATGCTTTCTCCGGTGAGACACATTCAGCCTCTTGCGAATTGAAGGAAAATTATGAAACACAGAGAGACGAAAGATACATTATTTTATATTTGTTTCTTTTGTTCTTGTAATTTTTTTGGGGGAAGCCTGACTTCCCTTGGCATCCATGAATACACACCACTGAAATCCACTTCAATCAGTGTAGATGAAGGGGAGGAGACGGGTTAAAGAAGGATTTTAAGCCTTGAGACAATTGAGACATTGATTGTCTATGTGTGCCAATCAGTTACATTGAGATAGTTATGAGATCCCATTGAAATGAAGGTCACAGTGTATTTCTCTCTCTCTCGCTCTCTCTCTCTGCCTCTCTCTCTCTCTCTCTCTCTCTGCCTCTCTCTCTCTGCCTCTCTCTCTCTCTCTCTCTGCCTCTCTCTCTCGCTCTCTCTCTCTCTCTGCCTCTCTCTCTCTGCCTCTCTCTCTCTCTCTCTCTCTTTCTCTCTCTGCAGGGAATTCTTTCATAGAGATCATTGAGCAGCCCAAGCCGAGAGGCATGAGGTTCAGGTACAAGTGTGAGGGGCGCTCGGCGGGCAGCATCCCGGGAGAGAAGAGCAACGATACCACCAAGACACACCCCGCCATCAAGGTTAGGGCATCCTTAAATTACACATCATTGGCACACTGAGCTAACTATGTATTAAGGGGCCATGCTTTATTTGCGCTGTAGCTTATTGAGACCTTCTGAGACCTTAAACCATGGCTACGTTCACCATATATTCTAAGATACTGTAGTTGATGGATAAATTATTAATCAAAGTAAGATTTGTTATGCAAATTAGCCATTTTGTCTAGTTATAACCATGGTAGCCTATAGCTGTCTGTTTTACGACTACACAACAGGGGTTTTGTCTAGAAGGGATATAGCTTTTGTCAAAATTGACTTTTTGTAGCAGGTTTAGGAGACCTTACGCTGCAGGTTAGGATAATGAATGAATCAGGTTAGGATAATTAGGTAAGGTTAGGAAAAGGGTTAGGGTTAGCTAAAATGTAAAAAATATATACTTTTTGACGTCAAATTTGCCAGAAGCTGTATCCCATCTAGACGTGACCCACCTTGCTTTGCAACATAGGACAGGAAGTGGTGGAGATTTTGTGGTGAGTGATGAGACAGATCCTGTTAACCTGGCTTGCTCCCATGCAGGTGCACAACTACAATGGTCCCCTGCGTGTCCGTGTCTCCTTGGTGACCAAGAACCCGCCTCACAAGCCCCACCCGCACGAGCTGGTGGGGAAAGACTGCAAACATGGCTACTATGAGGCAGACTTGCAGGAGAGACGAGTACACAGGTTAGACTGTGTGTGAGTGTGATAGAAGACATACACTTGGATGACAAAAGATTACCAGTTAATCATTGATATGACCATTTAGGTCAGGAAAAGGAAAAGTTGTTTCACATAGTCTTGATTTTTTAAAGGCTAGAACCAGAGCGTGGTTGAATGAAGCACGCTCTTGTGGACGATCTCTCTCACTTTCACACACGTTCACTCTGAGTCCTCTCACTGTCTGATCGCAGTTTTCAGAACCTGGGCATTCAGTGTGTGAAGAAAAAGGATGTGACCGAAGCAGTTTCCTGTAGACTGCAGACCCAAAACAACCCCTTCAACAGTGAGTACAGACAGACACACACACACACACACACACAGTCGGTCCACTGTTTATTTATTTATTTTTATTTCACCTTTATTTAACCAGGTAAGCCAGTTGAGAACAAGTTCTCATTTACAACTGCGACCTGGCCAAGATAAAGCATAGCAGTGCGATTAAAAACAACAACAGAGTTACATATGGGGTAAAAAAACATAAAGTCAAAAAAATACAACAGAAAATATATATACAGTGTGCAAATGTAGCAAGTTATGGAGGTAAGGCAATAAATAGGCTATAGTGCAAAATAATTACAATTAGTATTAACACTGGAATGCTAGATGTGCAAGAGATTATGTGCAAATAGAGATACTGGGGTTCAAAAGAGCAAAATAAATAACAATATAGGGATGAGGTAGTTGGGTGGGCTAATTTCAGATGGGCTGTGTACAGGTGCAGTGATCGGTAAGGTGCTCTGACAACTGATGCTTAAAGTTAGTGAGGGAGATAAGAGTCTCCAGCTTCAGAGATTTTTGCAATTCGTTCCAGTCATTGGCAGCAGAGAACTGGAAGGAATGGCGGCCAAAGGAGGTGTTGGCTTTGGGAATGACCAGTGAGATATACCTGCTGGAGCGCAGACTACGGGTGGGTGCTGCTATGGTGACCAATGAGCTAAGATAAGGCGGGGATTTGCCTAGCAGTGATTTATAGATGGCCTGGAGCCAGTGGGTTTGACGACGAACATGTAGTGAGGACCAGCCAACAAGAGCGTATAGGTCACAGTGGTGGGTAGTGTATGGGGCTTTGGAGACAAAACGGATGGCACTGTGATAGACTACATCCAATTTGCTGAGTAGAGTGTTGGAGGCTATTTTGTAAATGACATCGCCGAAGTCAAGGATCGGTAGGATAGTCAGTTTTACGAGGGCATGTTTGGCAGCATGAGTGAAGGAGGCTTTGTTGCGAAATAGGAAGCCTCGTAAAACTTAGATTTAACTTTGGATTGGAGATTCTTAATGTGAGTCTGGAAGGAGAGTTTACAGTCTAACCAGACACCTAGGTATTTGTAGTTGTCCACATACTCTAGGTCAGACCCGTCGAGAGTGGTGATTCTAGTCGGGTGGGCGGGTGCCAGCAGCGTTCGATTGAAGAGCATGCATTTAGTTTTACTAATGTTTAAGAGCAGTTGGAGGCTACTGAAGGAGTGTTGTATGGCATTGAAGCTCGTTTGGAGGTTTGTTAACACAGTGTCCAATGAAGGGCCAGATGTATACAAAATGGTGTCGTCTGCGTAGAGGTGGATCTGAGAGTCACCACCAGCGACATCATTGATATCAGTCAGCCCAATAATTGAACCCTGTGGCACCCCCATAGAGACTGCCATAGGTCCAGACAACAGGCCCTCCGATTTGACACACTGAACTCTATCTGAGAAGTAGTTGGTGAACCAGGCGAGGTAGTCATTTGAGAAACCAAGGCTGTCATAACATTATGCCAGTTATGCACATATTGACTCATCCAATCTAATTTTCATGTTTTGTTTACCTTGGTTTAATCCAATAATATTGTGTGAAGAGTAATGTATTTGTCCTCTATTGACCCTGATTGACAGGATACAGTCAATGCTAGGGCTGGGAATTGCCAGAGACCTCATGATACGATATTATCACGATACTTAGGTGCCGATACGTATAGCGATTCTCACGAATCTATAAATATTGCGATTTTATTGCAATTTGATGTTACAAACATATTGCTCACTATATGTCTGTTGTAGCATGAGAAAAATAATATTGTGATATGTAACTATCGATTTTGTTTCATCACTTGTCAACGCCAGATAGCCAATCCCAGATGCCACACCCATTGGCTTTGTGACTGACTGTGTTGTGTTTTGGTGGTAGTTCCCGAGGCGAAGGTGTGGGAGGAGGAGTTTGACCTGAATGCAGTGAGGCTGTGTTTCCAGGCCTCGATCACTCTACCTACCGGTGAACTCCGCCCTCTGGAGCCCGTGGTGTCTCAGCCCATCTACGACAACAGTGAGTCTGCTACAAACACACACACACACACAAATGCACACGCGCACTCACACACATAGACGGACGCACACACACACTGCACACACACTCACCAAACACTCACTGAGTACACACTGGCTCCCTCATTTGTCATTGTTCTGTTCAGGCTGTTCCTGTTCCACTGTTTACTCATTTATAAACATCTAGACAGGTGCTGTGGCCCTTTTACACTCCTTCACTCCCACCTCTCTCCGTCTCACAGGAGCACCCAACACAGCAGAACTGAAGATCTGTCGAGTGAACAGAAACTCTGGGAGCTGTAGAGGAGGGGACGAGATCTTCCTACTCTGTGACAAAGTGCAAAAAGGTTTGTCTGACACACACATACTCCTATTCTTGTTGGTGTTATTGAGTTGAGCCTGTTAGTTATTTTTACCTGCTGTCAACGGCTTTGTTCTCCTGTTAGTGTGTGGACTCTTTAAGTTCTCTTTGCCAGAAACCCATTTGAAATCATTGTGTATAAGCCCACTGGTAACCACTTACTGAATTGACACCAATTTGAAATCATTGTGTATAAGCCCACTGTTAATAACTTACTGAATTGACACCAATTTGAAATCATTGTGTATAGGCCCACTAGTAACCACTAGTAACCACTTACTTAATTGACACCCATTTGAAATCATTGTGTAAAAACCCACTGGTAACCACTTACTTAATTGACACCCATTTCAAATCATTGCGTATAAGCCTACTGGTAACCACTTACCTAATTGAGACCCATTTGATAGTATTGTGTATAAGCCCACTGGTAACTGCTTACTTAATTGTTCAAACTTAAAAACGAAGGGACTATGATCTCCTCTCTGTATTACATGAAAAGGTGGGCTACCAATTGTGTTGTTACAGAATGTTACCAAGTCAGCTGGACTGGCTCAGAATGAGTTCTCCCAGCCAGTAACTGACCTCACTATCCCACACCTCCTCCTTCCCATCCCCACTTCCACCCTCTTCTTTCTTCCCTCCACAGAGGACATCGAGGTGCGGTTCTTCCAGGACTCGTGGGAGGGGAAGGGGACCTTCTCCCAGGCGGACGTCCACAGGCAGGTGGCCATCGTGTTCCGTACCCCGCCCTTCTACGACACCAACCTGACCGAGCCAATCAGAGTGAAGATGCAGCTCCGCAGGCCCTCGGACCGCGAGGTCAGCGAGCCAATGGACTTCCAATTCCTGCCCTCCGACCCAGGTCACTTCCCTTTTTGTTACTAGGACGACCCATTTGGTTTCTATGGCGACACTCCTGTAGGCTGTGTGGTTGTCATGCCAAACATTTCACCCAGGCTAACTCTTATTTTTTTACTGTACAGATGAATATAGACTGATAGAGAAGCGAAAACGGACAGAGGGCATGTTCCAGAATCTGAAGCTGGGGACCATGATGTCAGGTAGGTGTCTAAAATGATCCATGTCACTCACTGAACTAGACAGCTGTGTCATCTGACGGTTCTGGGGGAGTTAATGTGTGATGGTTTATGTTTGAATTCCAGGGGCCATGCCAGCAGACAGAAGGCCTTTCAACACTGCCAGAAGAACAGTCGCCGCCAAGCCAGCAGCTAGCCAGCCTGGTAAATCATCCTATTTATTTAGCTGTTTCTCTTAATACAGTTAAGGGGGTTCTGTATGTAACATTAGTGGTCAGAAGTTAACATAGATAATACTGTTTTAGGGACCCTAGGTTTATTAGTAAATTCGACAGCGGTATTGACTGTTTGTGTCTCTTGCAGTAGTGAACCCAGTGGCGCCCCCTCGTGCCGCCTCTGTGAAGCCCCAGCCCTACTACGACAGCCCCCAGCCTGGCCAGCTGTTCCAAACCCAGCCCAGAGCAGAGCCCTCCTCCTCCACTCCAGCAGAGACCTGGAAGTTCCTCAACAGCCTGACCCTGGACTCCCAGCCCAAAGCCACCCCCGTGGCCAGATTCACCACCAACTCCCAGGCCCAGGCATCTGCAGCCACAGCCTCCTCCCAGGCCTTCCCCACCGTCAACCTGTTGGACCTCCACGGCTTCACCTTCCCCACGTTCCCTAGTCCCCAGGAGCCAGTGAGCGCAGCCGCTACTCCAGAGCCCACCTCTACCTTCGGCGTCCAGGGTTCCCAGTTCAGGGTGGATGGCCCCATGGTGGATGAGGAGCTACCCGAGTTCCCCAGCTTCTCTGAGGCCCACCCGTCAGGGACACTAGATGGCATAAACATCGACGACTTCCAGGCTCTGCTGGGCCAGAGTGGTCTGGTTGGAGAGGGGCCAGGGAGCAGTAGGGCGTCGGTCTCTCAGGCACCCTGCCACTTACCCGCCACCAACCCGGTGTCCAACAACGCGACCCAGAACCACACAGAGCCAGCCAACCACCACAACATCAGCTGTGGCGGCAGCACCTTGATGAACTACCCCAACAGCATCGTGAACCTGCTCCAGAGTGAGGGCATGATGGACAGTTCTCCTGGCAATGCCAGCCAGCCGGCCGTCCTCGACGACCTGGACGTCTTCAGCTCCATGGACGAAGAACGTCTCATGTCCATCCTGAACACTGGCAACCAGGCCGGTTTCGTGTCCGGACATCAGACTTAAGAGACCTCTGTGATTTTAGACATTTTTACTGCCATACTACTTTTATCTGTCCCCTTGCCTTTTGAGACCCAGCTCCTTTCTAACCCAACTTCCCTTGTACTTGTTATTCATAATGGACTACAAAGAAAATACATTTGAAGGCTGGCTGATCGAGAGTCAGATGATGGTGCCGTTTGCGCTCTTCTCTATGTGGATTGTGGACATGTTTATTAGGACAGCTGCAGAACCCTGCCTGTACTCGATGAACAGAGTGAATAGGAGAGAGGGCTACAGGGAACCCCTGGTAACTGCCAGTTTGTGGGCAATCGCGAGACCCAAGGATTTTTGTCGCTTTTTGTCAACCCCTAAAGATACACACCCACTGGGTTGTGTAGAAACCCAGGCTTGTATCTAGTCTCCAAAGGCAGTGGTATTCACTTCTGGTCCCTAAGAACATCAGGGTTCGAAATGTGTCAATGTATGGACTGAATAGTCCAGGGCCCGGTTTCCTGATGGCGATGGAACTTAGGCTTACGAGGGTTTTTAACAATGCATCTTTCTTACAACGCCCGAAGATGTAACATACACAGAGTATACAAAACATTAAGGACACCTGCTCTTTCCATGACATAGACTAGGGGTATTCAACTCTTACCCTACGAGGTCCAGAGCCTGCTGGTTTTCTGTTCTACCTGATAATAATTGCACACACCTGGTGTCCCAGGTCTAAATCTTTCCCCCGATTAGAGGGGAACAATGAATAAATGCAGTGGCGCTGGCTTTAAGGTCCAGAGTTGAGTTTGAGGGACAAAGACTGACCAGGTGAATCCAGGTGAAAGCTATGATCCCTTAAATACACTTCAATCAGTGTAGATGAAAGGGAAGAGACAGGTTAAAGAAGGATTTTTAAGCCTTGAGACAATTGAGACATGGATTGTGTATGTGTGTCATTCAGAGGGTGAATGGGCAAGACAAAATATTTCAGTGCATTTGAACAGGGTATGGTAGTAGGTGCCAGGTGTTTCCTGTGTGTATCAAGAATGGTCCACCGCCCTAATAAAATCCAGCCAACTTGACACAACTGTGGGAAGCATTGGAATCAACATGTGCCAGGATCCCTGTGGAATGCTTTCGACATCTTGTAGTGTCCATGCCCCGACAAATGTTCACTCGACAACCACTATGTCTGTTTCAAGGCCTTTTGGGATGACACTTGGTTGTTCTCCAAATAAGAATCAAAATGAAATGATTGCTCTGTCATCTATTATATTGTGCTTGTTTGTGTGCTATAGGTTTTGTTGGACTCCTTGAAGAATGTCAGAAGATTCTGGTTTTTACAAGAAATCGGGTCATAATAACCTCTGCTTTCACAGCTTGCCATTGAGAAATGTGTATGTGAAAGGGAAAATATTTCTCAAAAAGGGAATAATTTTTGTAAGCACAAAATAAGTTCCCAGTTTAGCTACGCAATCTTCTCACAACCAATGAAAAGCCTTAAAATGGTTTGTCCATCTATTTCATGTGTCAAACTCATTCCACGGAGGTCCGAGTGGCTGAGGGTTTTCACACCTCCCTTGTACTTGATTGATGAATTAAGGTCACTAATTAGTAAGGAACTCCCCTCAATTGAAAGGAAAAAACTAAAACATGCAGACACTCGGCCCTCCGTGGAATGAGTTTGACACCCCTGATCTATTTGTAGATGAGTGAGCCAGATTTCTATGTATTACGACCATTCAAAATTACAATCTGAATAGTTTATTACTAGCCTATACTGTAGGTAGTGTAATATCACCGTACTATAAAGCAAGACAAGAATACATTGTCATTTCAATGTGCTTAGGCTTTAGATCACTTGTCAAACTCATTCCACGGAGGGCCGAGTGTCTGCGGGTTTTCGCTCCCCCATTGTACTTGATTGATGAATTAAGGTCACTGATTAGTAAGGCACTCCCCTCACCTGGTTGTCTAGGGCTTAATTGAAAGGGAAAAACCAGCAGACACTAGGCCCTCCCTGGAATGAGTTTGACACCCCTGCCTTAGGTGATGAAATGCGCGATACAGTACTCACCTTGGTGACATATCTAAATGTTATGTACAGTTTTACCATGTTAACATCTAACTATAACTTGTCATTTTCAATATTCAATACATCTTTGGAATGGGAAGGATATTGTTTATAGATGTCCAAAAAATTTAGCAGATGCACTGATATGCTTAGTGAAAAAGTACTTGTTAGTAGTTGAGTCTGCATCTCAAATATAATTTCTGTCCCTCACTATGTCAATTATGCTCATTCACAGTGCAGTTTGCTTTTAGGCCAGTGTGATACCATTACATTTTGCTATATGGTATATGAACTTCGGCTGCAGTTCATTTTACATAAAATAAAACATGTTTAAACCATAACTCTGTACTTAAGTCAATGCTGCCTTCCTGAAAATAGACACTTGTATAATATTTTGTACAAGTATATACAGGACCAGCCAAAAGTTTGGACACACCTACTCATTCCAGGGTTTTTCTTTATTTTTACTATTTTCTACATCGTAGAATAATAGTGAAGACATCAAAACTATGAAATAACACCTATGGAATCATGTAGTAACAAAAAAGGTGTTAAACAAATCAAAATATTTTATATTTGAGATTCTTCAAAGTAGCCACCCTTTGCCTTGATGACAGCTTTGCAGACTTTTGGCATTCTCTCAACCAGCTTCACCTCGAATGCTTTTCCAACAGTCTTGAAAGAGTTCCCACATATGCTGAGCACTTGTTGGCTGCTTTTCCTTCACTCTGCGGTCCAACTCATCCCAAACCATCTCAATTGGGTTGAGGTCGGGTGATTGTGGAGGCCAGGTCATCTGATGCAGCACTCCATCACTCTCCTTCTTGGTCAAATAGCCCTTACATAGCCTGTAGGTGTGTTGGGTCATTGTCCTGTTGAAAAACAAATGATAGTCCCACTAATCGCAAACCAGATGGGATGGCGTATCGCTGCAGAATGCTGTGGTAGCCATGCTGGTTAAGTGTGCCTTGAATTCTAAATAAATCAGTGTCACCAGCAAAGCACCATCACACCTCCTCCTCCATGCTTCACGGTGGGAACCACAGAGTAGGTGAACAGAGATCATCCGTTCATCTACTCTGCGTCTCAAGGACACGGCAGTTGGAACAAAAAATCTCGAATTTGGACTCATCAGACCAAAGGACAGATTTCCACCGGCCTAATGTCAATTGCTCGTGTTTCTTGGCTCAAGCAAGTCTCTTCTTCTTATTGGTGTCCTTTAGTAGTGGTTTCTTTGCAGCAATTCGACCGTGAAGGCCTGATTCACGCAGTCTCCTCTGAACAGTTGATGTTGAGATGTGTCTGTTACTTGAACTTTGTGAAGGATTTATTTGGGCTGCAGTTAACTAATGAACTTATCCTCTGCAGCAGAGGTAACTCTGGGTCTTCCTTTCCTGTGGCAGTCCTCATGAGAGCCAGTTTCATCATAACGCTCGATGTTTTTTGCGACTGCACTTGAATAAACTTTAAAAGTTCTTGATATCTTCCGGATTGACTGACCTTCGAGAATGCCAAGAGTGTGCAAAGCTGTCATCAAGGCAAAGAGTGGCTATTTGAAGAATCTCAAATATATTTTGATTTGTTCAACACTTTTGTTACATGACTCCATATGTGTTATTTCATAGTTAAGTCTTCACTATTATTCTACAATGTAGAAAATAGTAAAAAATAAAGACCCTGGAATGAGTAGGTGTGTCCAAACTTTTGACTGGTACTGTATGCAGACAGGAAATGACATTAATTGACATTTGGGTTTGCACGTGTTACCTACTTCACATTTTTTTGTAATTTAGCAGACGCTCTTATCCAGAGCGACTTACAGTTAGCGAGTGCATACATTTTCACGAACCCACAACCCTGGAGTTGCAAGCGCCATGCTCTACCAACTGAGCTACACTGGACTTTACTTCCCACAATGTCACTCAATACAGAGAATGTTTCAAATAACTTTATTTGGCAATTGTTGTAATTAATTGATAACATCAAGTACAAAACATATTGAAGCCAAACTATGAAAGTGGTAAGCAACTTTATTTTTTATTACAGATACAATGACATGTTTGTAGTACAGCAATCTTTGTAAAAGTTAAGGTACAGAATCACAACAACAAAGCAAGACATGCATGTATTCATTCACTGCATGGCAAGCTCTGGTTTCAGAGTTGTGGATGGCGGCTGCATTACAGAATAAGTCAATTTAAGACTTGATTTACTACTTCAGCAAAAATGTTTTAACAAACATTTTTGCTTGTATGGTTGACAATAGAATCAATAGAAGCACCCTCCAATGAACTATTATCTTAAATTAATTTCAGCACGATGAAACAAGTCTGCTTCGAGACATATAGGAAAAACTCAGAAATATGAAACCCCATACTTCGGGGAATGAACCGAACTCAAGTCAGAAGTACAGTACTGTACAACGTAGCCTAACTCATGGCATGTGTCCAACTGTCCACTGCTAAGTGCTTGTTTAGCAATAGCAAACTATCCTCCCACTTCTTTCCTATGTGACCTCCAGATTGGTGACTTTGTTGACGATGTGTGAACGTCGGGGCACACACTCCAGGTCGAACTTGCTCTCGTAGATGGTGGGGCAGAGATTCCAGCGGTTGTTGCGGTATATACCCAGGTAAGTGTAAACATCCGGCTTGAAGGACAGCAAGCACTTGACCCCCGTGGCCCGGATGACTGCGTCCAGCCTCATCACCTCGTTCTCGTCCGTGAAGTCCTTGTTATAGGAACAGATGACGTGTTTACGGTCAGACTTTGGGTCGCACGGGCTCACCTTGGTCTGGAAGATCTTCCCTTCCTGGGCTGCTCTGGCTACACACTCCCAGGCATGGTCCACCTTAAAGCCTGAGTCCAGGTGCATCAGCCACTTGCCGGTGAGCACCCCGTGGTTCAGTGCCAGTTCCTTCACAGTTTGGAAGGTGACGGTTCTCCCGCTGGCCAGCAGCCTCTCCCAGCTTGCCTGGAGTCCAGTGACGTCCCCTGTGGCAGGGCAGTGGTCCGGGCCCAACACAGCGATCCACCCCACAGGTCCCTTACCACCCTCATCGTCCCCGAAGCGGCCCACCTGGGATGGCCTGTTGGTCTCCAGCCAGCCGTCAAACTCGGCTGCAGGTGTTTTGCGGGAGTCGAATATAATCCAGGGATCCACGTCTGCAGCCATGGACTCTGCTGCATAGCTCTCTGCAGAGAATGGCTCTGGGTTCTCCAACTCTGCCCCCTCTGGGGCATCTTCCTCCACCTGAACATCCTCCATGGTGGAAACTCAACAAGGGGTTCCTGGGGTGTGTTCTCAGCAATGGTCAAATGGGTGCACAATTTTCCTGTAGATAAGCATGATGTTAGTTTGAGTAGGAAAAGTTATAAAACCCTGTTCATGAGAACACTGCCTTTGCAGTCATCCCGAACAAGCATACAACAGAGAGCATGGAAAGCCCGCAATGAGCTTGTGCAACCAAAGATAGAAGCTATTTTGGCCTAGCTTTGTTAGACAGCTAGCTAGCTAGCTCGTTAGCATGGATAAATGTCATTTAGAACTCCCGCAGTATTTACATTTTACTTGCATGAACATAGAGCAACTTACAGTATAGTAATGAAACGTTTTCCCTTTACTGAGCGGTTTTATATGCCAGCTACCAAGTCTTGAAGGTAGCTGGACAGTTAGCAATGTTTAAGCCTGCTCAAGCCTCCATCATGATTTCAATGTCGCTAGCAAAACTTTATTGAAACACCCCGTATACAAAATAGCATGTAGCCTAGCTAACGGTGTCTATTAGAACAACAATGACTCGATAGTACCTAGAAAAAGGTGCTAGATGATGCCCAACTGGTCAAAGTGAAAATGTCATTGAGGGGAACTCCTTGGAGCAGTGCCCACGATGTAGCTACTCCTCTAGTAGAAAGTGCTGGCCAGCCGATATGCTGTAGTAAGTGTCCACAATTCAATGTGAAAGCCTTTGTATCGATCTATAGCAAACGAATAGCCGATCAGACTGTCCCTATTGCCTGTGTCCAAGACCCTGACCTGGGCAGAGCACACTTGGGGGAGAAAAAAAAAAAGCTCACCCTCAGCCGTGGGAGGAGCATGTGTGGACAAATGTAAGGGCTGGTTCACGTCTGTCAAACAGGACTTTCAGCAAGAATGAGGGGTTAAGACGGAGGGTGACACTCCTCGTCTGGACCCATTCTGAAATACATTCAGTGCTCACTGAAAAGGCATGAGTTTTACTCACCCTCTTGGTGGAGGTAATAGCCAACAGGAATGCCACCTTCATGGATAGGGGTATTCAAAGTCATCGACTCTAGGGGCTCAAGGGCGGCTTAGCAAGCGCTGACGTCAACGTTCCAGTTTGGCACCAAGCGGGCCATTGCTGGACACAGATGTCGAACTCCCTTCATACATTTGGAGAGCAATGGGTAGCCAGCCATGGGTCCCTCTTGGCCTTCGTCATGGCATGCCCAGATAGCGACTAAATACACTAAATGTGGATGCTGCTCGGCCCGCATCAAGCAGTGACTGAAAACAGTTTGCACATATGCCTCTCAAACCAGGTACAGAATATGCCCCACCACATTTCATATGATGCATTGGTGGAAGAAACCATGGTGCTCCGCAACGTGTTCACCACATCGTCCTGAAGGCCTAGACTGGGCCACTAACGCCTCTTAGAGGCCAAGCCCGAAGCTGGAGGCGGTGCGGGTTGTGATGGCACAGTGTCCACCCAGCCTGAAGAGAAGGTCAGGCCTCAGGGACAGCTGCCACGGGGTGCCCGAGAGGAAAGACCGAAGGCTGAACCATGGGAAAGCGTTAAGCAGAGTCTCTCGAGAACATGTCCGCAGCATTGTTCAGGACCCCGGGGATATGTGCTGCTCGCAGCGATGCCAAGCGGGTCTGGGCCCATGGCAAGAGCTCCCGAACCATTGGATCAGGAAATGCTGTCCTACCAGGTAGGGCTGGAACTGTTGAAGAGCTAGAAGAACCACCCTGAGCTCCAGCACATTGATCCAGCGGCCTCTGAACACGGCACCTCAACCTGTCAGACGCTTCAGTGCACACCAGCTCTCTGCGGTGGACTCGGCTCAGGCTCACCCCCTTTACCAGGAAGGAGCAGCCACTTCGATAGGGTCCTCAAACATGCACTAAACCACCAACAGTTGACGGTGTCTGTATTGTTTTGGGGGCCTGATGAGAATGCCCAGTGGAACCAACAGTGAAGCCACTGTCAGTAGGCCGAGTAACTGTTGGCACTAACACAGACATGGCTCGTCCAAGCCAGAACTAGTTGAGGTAGGACAGGATTTTGTTACTCTAACCTAAGGGAGATGTGCCCTCATGAGAGTCAAGTCTATGGACATCCCAAGGTAGATCACCTTCCGTGAGGGGGGTCAGGTGACTCTTCTCCTCGTTTAGGGTGAGTCCCATAACTCAAATGTGGTTGAAGAGGGTCCTCGTGTCTGTTGTGGCCTGTTCCCTTGATGGGGCAGACAGCCCAGGTAAGGCAGTTAACTCATCCAGTAGAATGTGCCACCACAGCAAAAGGCAAAGGCCAGCCAAAATGCTGCAATAACAGTGTCCACCATGCAATGTGAGAGTCCGGTCAGATAGGCCCTTGCCCAAAACTCTCACTATAGCTAACAAAAACGGATAAAGCTTTTGTATTGCCTGCGTCTGTGAAAAGTGTCCATTGCCCTAGCCGGGCACAACACACTGTGGGAAGCCCCTAGTGCACCCGCAACAGCGAGTGTGGACAACTGTAATGGCCGGTTAACGTCTCGTCAGACAGAACCCTTGGTCAGAATGAGGGGTTTGGATGTAGGTTGACACTCCTTCTGAAACATTCAGTCAACCAGGGCGTCAACACTAGAAGACCCTGAGACATTTGAGGCGCCAGAACTAAAGCGGTGGCCGGCGTCGGAGTTCGTAGCCTTCCATCACTGTATTCATTGCCAATGGGGATTCCACTTGCCTCTCTGTTAGGCTTTTGGGCCTGTGAGAAGCTGCCAATGCCAGCACCTCAGGGTGACTGCAGAGTGCCACCCTTCTTAAAAATAAAAACCTGAAATATCACATTCACATAAATATTCAGACAGTTTACTCAGTACTTTGTTAAAGCACCTTTGGCAGCGATTACAGTGTCGAGTCTTCTTGGATATGACGCTACAAGCTTGGCACACCTGTATTTGGGGAGTTTCTCCCATTCTTCTCTGCGGATCCTCTCAAGCTCGGTCAGGTTGGATGGGGAGCTTTGCTGCACAGCTTTTTTCAGGTCTCTACAGAGATGTTCGATCGGCTGCAGAGATGGTTGTCCTTCTGGAAGGTTCTCCCATCTCCACAGAGAAACTCTAGAGCTCTGTCAGAGTGACCATCAGGTTCTTGGTCACCTCCCTGACCAAGGCCCTTCTCCCCCGATTGCTCAGTTTGGCCGGGCGGCCAGCTCTAGGAAGAGTCTTGGTGGTTCCAAACATCTTCCATTTAAGAATGATGGAGGCCATTGTGTTCTTGGGGACCTTCAATGCTGCAGAAATTTTTTGGTACCCTTCTCCAGATCTGTGCCTCGACACAATCCTGTCGTCTCGGAGCTCTACGGACAATTCCTTCGACCTCACGGCTTGGTTTTTGCTCTGACAACTGTGGGACATTATAGACAGGTGTGTGCCTTTCCAAATCATGTCCAATCAATTGAATTTACCACAGGTGGACTCCAATGAAGTTGTAGAAACATCAAGGATGATCAATGGAAACAGGATGCACCCTGAGCTCAATTACCAGTCTCATAGCAAAGGTCTGAATACTTATGTAAATAAGGTATTTCGGGTTTTTTTACATTTGCAAACATTTCTAAAAATCTGTTTTTCGCTTTGTCATTATGGTGTATTGTGTGTAGATTGCTGAGGAAATTGTTTTATTTAATCAATTTTAGAATAAGGCTGTAACGTAACAAAATGTGGAAATAGTAAAGGGGTCTGAATACTTTCAGAAGGCACTGTATATACTTAAACCCTCAGTGTAATAGTTGAGATGTAAGTTTCCAGGGGAAACTAGGATAGTTACTGTCTTAACTGTAAGTACAACAAGACTAGTAACCCCAGCTACACACTGTGCAAGACGGCAGTGTAATAGCTGAAAAGTGAGATTCCAAGGGAAACTAGCATAGTTACGCTACGTAGCCTACTGTAAGTAGTGCAACAGAAAAACTATTGTAAAGCCAGCTACACACTGTGTGGAAAAACAGTAGTGTAATAGAGTTATCAGTTTCCAATCAAGGGATAGTTACTGTCTGTAATGTAAAGTAGTGCAACAGAACTCAGACAGTAACCCTCAGTGTATTAGAGCTGAGATGTGAGTTTCCAAGTCAAACTGTGATGGTTACTGTCTCTACTGTAAAACAGTAACAAAAACTATCGCAACCCAGCAACTGTGTGAAAAAAAAAAAACACCAGTGTAATCTCACTATGGTTGGGCTAACATAAACTCAGCCAGTCCCTTCACAGGAAAACACCCTTCCTCAACACTGGAAAATGAAGACAACAGTGAAATATTACTGCGTCAATAGTACACACTGCGCAATAGTATAGAATGGGACCTACAGTATCAGCCTTAGTCTCATACATTATCTGAAGGAGAGGAGACATGAATGCTGTAGCTTTTCCTTGTGGAAAAATTCAGCCAACAGTGTAAACTGTCTGACCGTGAAGGGGCAGGGCATTCTACTGCACACACGTTTATAGCTTATTTCTTGCTTTATACGTGGGGGTGCTGGTTGTTAGGATTTAAGGGAAAGTGTGTTTATAACCGGGCTTAGTCCTGCAATGGTCACCTCTCCTTAAACTAGCTACTTTGCATAGCTCGTTCACCGTGGAACGCACAAGACTCTAGGCAAGATGGCTGCGCCGTGAGAGCTGAAACGTGGTGCACCTCGCGACACCTAGCTCACTCTCAGGGGAGAACTGCAAGCCCGCCAGAGAGAAACATACAGTCTCTCGATCTTGCGCGGTCCCCGAACCCAAAGGATATAACTGGGAGGGTTCCGGTGGACAGACAAGTCACATAGACAACTAAGACAAACCCTCAGCGCCGCAATACTGGTAGCCAAACAGAGTATCGCCCAGGTTGTTAGTCACAAGTAATAAAAACAAGGACGAAACCCAAACGAGACGGCACAAGCCAAACCGAGTGGGGGGACAGCAGAGCACCCTGATGGAGAGGCTAGCTAGCTAGCTAGCTGCTCCAAGCTATTGAATAGCTGTGGGTATACTTCTGCGCTTATACACTAACATAGAGCTCTTACCAAGCGAATCCTCTCTGGAATGAGCCGAGAAAACAAAAGAGGTGGAAGTAGTGCGTGGCAGCTATTTAAGGGGGTCAGCCACAGCACTACCTGGTCCACGGGACGAAACTGAAATTCTGGCTGCGTTTCAAACACGTAAAAGACACACCCTCCTCCACTTACCCTCGCCTTATGCCCATGGGGGAATCCTTGCTGCCATCTTAGCCGCCGGTCCAAACAATTAGCCAAGCAAGGGAAGTTGACAACGTTAGCCCCTCAGCCCTCGTTTGTGAGAGTATAAGATTCTGTTCACTCCGGGGCCTGAAATGCCCCATAATTCAATTTGCAATGACTGTACATCTGCTAAGGAAAGTCTGCCAAAACTTAAAACCAACACCAATATGGAGAAGTCACCATACAACTGTAAGTAAAAACAAAGTTCAATAAGTTAGAAATTGTGCTACTAATGCACATGATGGCACAAACACGTATCATAAAAGTAATGTTTGTTTAGCCTTTGGAAACGTTAGCTAGCACATGCATACAACTTTCCCTGACATCACACGTATACATTGTAATTTTCGATTTACCTGATGTCGTCGGATGGCTAGTATTCGATGTCTGCGAATGTAGTCTTCTAGCCAAGATATGAAATGCTATCATAATTGACTGTTGCACGCACACACGCGCTACCGGTGGTTCCATGATGCCTGAAAACACAACCCTGAGACGAACTTCCGGGCAAGGGCGGCCATTTGAAATTCATTCATTCTTCCCTCCCACCTTGCCCTGCAAGTGTCAACTCATCATCATACCTCATGATATGTTATCATTAGTGTCGACTTAATTTGAGGGTTGGGGGGTTGAGGGAGTGTATTTTACGTGTTTGGAATGCTGCCAGCGTGAGTCTTTTAGGCGTTTGGACTGCAGCCTCTTACTCGGAATGTATCCTGCCGCGCGAAATAATACCATTTTGGAGTGATCCAATATAGTGTTACATGACACTAGAGTCTAGGCAAGATGACTGCGCCTCGCGACACCTAGTTCACGCTCAGGAGAGAACTGCAAGCCCACCGGAATGAAATATAGTCTCCCGATCTTGTGGGGTAGGCGCGGGGGACCCGACGGCTACAACCGGAGGGTTTAGGTGGACGGACAATTCACACAGACAACTAAGACAAACCCTCAGCGCCGCAATACTGGTTGCCAAACAAGAGTATCGCCCAGGTTGGTACACTGTCACAAGTAATAAAAACAAGGACGAAACCCAAACGAGACGGCACAAGTCAAACCGAGTGGGGGGACAGCAGAGCACCCTGATGGAGATGCTAGCTAGCTGCTCCAAGCTATTGAATAGCTGCGACTGTACTTCTGCGCTTATACACTAACATAGAACTCTTACCAAGTGAATCCTCTCTGGTATGAGCCGAGAAGAGGTGGAAGTAGTGCAGCGGCAGTTATTTAAGGGTGTTAGCCGCAGCACTACCCGGTATACGGGACTAATCTGAAATTCTTACTCGGAATGTATCCTGCCGCGCGGAAGGATACCATATTGGAGCGATCCAATATAGTGCTACTAAACGGTTGGATCTTGCACCTTTAGCTTTTTGTCACGTAGAGTTTGCAATGTTGCATTTTACCTCAACACGAGAGGCCTTTGATAATAATAAATCTGTGTTTGTTTATTATTTCAAACCTGCGTACTGTCTATTTGACCAGACCAGACAGTGTGCAGGCTCAGGCGAGAGACTACGGAACGCGAGACCCTGCGGAACATCTCGAGAAGCCGACGTTGCTACGTGCTAGGCTAGCTAGTAGCTAACGTTAGGTACCCACTTGGGTGCGTGTTGGAGGGAGATATAATAACACAATATTGAAGATTATTTTAAGTTAACTAGTCAGGTTACTCAATAATGCCCAGTAAAAAGAAGAAATATAACGCCAGATTCCCTCCGGTAAGTTGATACTTTGCTTGCTAAGCAGTTAGTTAACCTAGCTTGCTAGCGTTAATGATCCAAGTAAAATGAGCTGGGACTACTAACGGTTTGCTAAGTAGCTTGCTAATGTTAGCTAGAACAGTACACCCTTGAATGGAGTTTGGGCTAGGTTGTTAGCTAGTTTAACAATACAAGAAGACAAAACTACCTAGCTACTTAGTAACTAGCTAGAACTGTAATGTTCGATATGCTATCTAGATAAAATGGTAACTAGTTAGGGAGGGTGGCCTTTAACATTGCATTGCTAGCTAGCGTGGTCATTGTTATTAGCAAACTTGTCATCTGTGCTGAGAGACCTAGATTAATTATTGACCAAAATCAGTATTACCATGTTAGGTAGGGATTTGCATTAGAATAAGTGACACATCTTATACGGAAAAAGAGGATGTTGCTAGCTAGTATAATGGCTAAGTTGTTAGCAAACCAGTCCACCTACGAATGTCATGATACCTGCTGCCACTACTCACTCAGTCAATCAATAAACATTTATTTATGAAGTCCTTTTTACATCAGCAGTTGTCACAAAGTGCTTATACAGAAACCGAGCCTAAAACCCCAGAGGGCAAGCAATGCAGTTTTAGAGTCAGGGTGGCTAGGAAAAACTCCCTAGAGAGGAACCAGGCTCTGAGGGGTGGCCAGTCCTCTTCTGGCTGTGCCAGGTGGAGATTATAAGAGTAAATGGCCACTAAGGCCAGATCGTTCTTCAAGATGTTCAAACGTTCATAGATGACCAGCAGGGTCAAATAATAATCTCAGTGGTTATAGAGGGTGCAACAGGTCAGCACCTTAGGAGTAAATGTCAGTTGGCTTTTCATAGCCGAGCATTCAGAGGTCGAGACAGCAGGTGAGGGAGTGAGGTAGCTAGATGTAGATGACCTCCTCCCTGTCTTGAGATGTGAGGTGAGCCAAAACAGACAGGGCTGAAGCTGAAGCCAAGTAGGTGCATGGTGATATGTAGCTAGGTTAACTTGGTAGGAGAATAACAGGGACAGCTTCAAAAGAAATAGGTATGTAGATAACATAATCGTCACCATAACAAAAAACTAGCTCCCAGTTTGTGTGGTATTATTAACTATCTATCAAGATCGTCATCATGCTACGCTCTGCATGACTTCTGCGCATTACCTAAATCCTCAGGTGATTCAAACAGATGGGAATAGGCCTAGTTTAGATAGATCCTTCGGCAATGAGTTAAGCCAGCATTTCCCAAACTCGGTCCTTCGGGACCCCAAGGGGTGCATGTTTTGGTTTTTGCCCAAACACTACACAGCTGATAGAAATGATCAAAGCTTGATGATTATTTGAATTGGCTGTGTAGTGCTAGGGCAAAAACCAAAACATGCACCGCGTTTGGGCAACCCTGATTAGACTTATGCATTACACATTGAGCCATTGCTGTCTATAGCTTAGTTTCCTTGTCATCTAACTACGGTAAATGTGCTGTGCATGTGTGGTTGGTTGATTGATCAGTTAGTACAGTCCGCAATCATGCAAATGCTTAATAGTAGTAGAATCTTTAAAACACTCTTTCACTGACGTCTTCCCATTCCTATTACAGGCGAGGATTAAGAAGATTATGCAGACTGATGAAGAGATAGGTAAAGTGGCTGCTGCAGTTCCTGTCATCATATGTATCCTTCTCTGGCCTGAGAGCTTCACCTGGCTGTATTTCATTGCAAGTTCCCAGTAACTGGATTTCAAAAACATGTTTATTTGCCAATGACAATATGGAGATTTTGCCTATAGTGTTAATTGTTTGTGATTGTGTTGTGCAGTTTGAATGAAATTCATTTGACCCACAGTTTTGAGGGTTTGTTGCCCTAGTAAGAGTCTAGTATTCAATCTTGAGTAGTTGTGAAATATCTAACTGTTATTGAAGACAAGAAAACATGGCCACCTGGTCCTGTCGGCTAGTGGCTACTTTTCCCTTTCCTTAATTCAACCACCAGCACGAGCTCTGGAGCTGTTCCTGGAGTCTCTCCTGACGAAAGCCTGTCAAGTCACCCAGTCCCGGAACGCAAAAACAATGACCACGTCACACTTGTAAGTCATGTATTCAGTTATCAGTGTTGGTCACAAAAGCCGATAGGACTGCAGATCGTAATGGTCAGCATTGTTGACTATCAGTGCTTTTGGATCTGGGAAAGTAATGTTTTAAACAATGTATGTCTGTGTGTAGAAAACAGTGCATTGAGCTGGAGCAGCAATTTGACTTCCTGAAGGACCTGGTAGCAGCAGTGCCAGACATGCAGGGTGAGGGAGAGGACAACCACGCAGAGGGAGGGGAAAAAGTTGCACGCAGGTAACGGACACTGAATGATACCCACTGTTGACTTGGATAGGATACTACTGAAGTACCCTAAAGTTTGGGTCTCTGGAAAATGTGAATTATGCAATCCTAACTTTGTGTACTTGGTGTCCTCCAGAGGTCGAAAGCCGGGGTCAGGCCGCAAGAACGGAGGAGCTGGCTCCAAGGGAAAGGACAAGAAGCTATCAGACACAGAGTCGGAGCAAGAGGTCGGTGTTGACCTTTAATTTGGCGGCCACTAAACAGAACCTTACCTTGGATGACAGTAACCTTGTATAGAGGGAAATGTTAGTTAGTTTGGCTTGGTGGCCAATTTAAGTTACATCAAGTGTGAGAGGGAAGAGTATGGATTTCAGAGGCTTATTTAGCTTTTTGTTGCCATGGGAACAGGATGACTCTGAGGACAGCGAGACAGATGGGGATGAGGAGGACGGTTCTCAGTCAAGCACAAACCTGCAGCCGCAATCCCGATTCCACAGGTAAACACTCACACGCACTACCTACCACTCCAGTATCCTTTTACCTTCTAAATATGTTATTGGCACTGACCCTGGAACTGACCCTGTATATATCTTTAATTACCCTGTATATAGCTTACTGACCCTGTATATAGCTTACTGACCCTGTATATAGCTTACTGACCCTGGAACTGTCCCTGTATATAGCTTACTGACCCTGGAACTGTCCCTGTATATAGCTTACTGACCCTGGAACTGTCCCTGTATATAGCTTACTGACCCTGGAACTGTCCCTGTATATAGCTTACTGACCCTGGAACTGTCCCTGTATATAGCTTACTGACCCTGGAACTGTCCCTGTATATAGCTTACTGACCCTGGAACTGTCCCTGTATATAGCATACTGACCCTGTATATAGCTTACTGACCCTGGAACTGTCCCTGTATATAGCTTACTGACCCTGGAACTGTCCCTGTATTTAGCTTACTGACCCTGGAACTGTCCCTGTATATAGCTTACTGACCCTGTATATAGCTTACTGACCCTGGAACTGTCCCTGTATATAGCTTACTGTCCCTGTATATAGCTTACTGACCCTGGAACTGTCCCTGTATATAGCTTACTGACCCTGGAACTAACCCTGTAAATAGCTTACTGACCCCGGAACTAACCCTGTAAATAGCTTACTGACCCTGTATATAGCTTACTGACCCTGGAACAGACCCTGTCTATAGCTTACTGACCCTGTATATAGCTTACTGACCCTGTATATAGCTTACTGACCCTGGAACTAACCCTGTATATAGCTTACTGACCCTGGAACTATCCCTGTATATAGCTTACTGACCCTGTATATAGCTTACTGACCCTGGAACTAACCCTGTAAATAGCTTACTGACCCTGGAACTGACCCTGTATATAGCTTATGACCTGGATGACTCTGTATATAGCTTACTGACCCTGGAACTGTCCCTGTATATAGCTTACTGACCCTGGAACAGACCCTGTATATAGCTTACTGACCCTGGAACTGACCCTGTATATAGCTTACTGACCCTGGAACAGACCCTGTATATAGCTTACTGACCCTGTATATAGCTTACTGACCCTGGAACTGTCCCTGTATATAGCTTACTGACCCTGGAACTGACCCTGTATATAGCTTACTGACCCTGGAACTGACCCTGTATATAGCTTACTGACCCTGGAACTAACCCTGTATATAGCTTACTGACCCTGGAGACTGTCCTGTATATAGCTTACTGACCTGTATATAGCTTACTGACCCTGGAATAGCTGTACCCTGTATATAGCTTACTGACCCTGGAAACTGACCCTGGAACGCCCTGTATATAGCTTACTGACCCTGGAACTGTCCCTGTATATAGCTTACTGACCCTGGAACTAACCTGTATATAGCTTGCTGACCCTGGGAACTGTCCTTGTATATAGCTTCTGACCTGGACTCCTGTATATAGCTTACTGACCCTGACTCCTGTATATAGCTCTGACCCTGGAACTGTCCCTGTATATAGCTTACTGACCCTGGAACTGTCCCTGTATATAGCTTATGACCCTGAACTGTCCCTGTATATAGCTTACTTGACCCTGTATATAGTTCCACTGACCTGGAATGCCCTGTAAACTGACCCTGGAACTGTCCCTGTATATAGCTTACTGACCCTGGAACTGTCCCTGTATATAGCTTACTGACCCTGGAACTGTCCCTGTATATAGCTTACTTAACCTGTATATAGCTTACTGACCCTGGAACTGACCCTGGAACTGTCCCTGTATATAGCTTACTGACCCTGGAACTGTCCCTGTATATAGCTTACTGACCCTGGAACTGCCTGTATATAGCTTACTGCCTAACCCTGTATATAGCTTACTGACCTGAACTGACCTGGAACTGTCCCTGTATATAGCTTACTGACCCTGGAACTGTCCCTGTATATAGCTTACTGACCCTGGAACTGACCCGAACTGCTGTATATAGCTTACTGACCCTGGAACTGACCCTGTATATAGCTTACTGACCCTGGAACTGACCCTGTATATAGCTTACTGACCCTGACTGCCGTATTAGCTTACTGACCCTGGAACTGTCCCTGTATATAGCTTACTTAACCTGTATATAGCTTACTGACCCTGGAACTGACCCTGGAACTGTCCCTGTATATAGCTTACTGACCCTGGAACTGTCCTTGTATATAGCTTACTGACCCTGGAACTGTCCCTGTATATAGCTTACTGACCCTGGAAACTGTCCCTGTAGTATAGACTGTACTGCCTGTATATAGCTTACTGACCTGGAACTGTCCCTGTATATAGCTTACTGACCTGAACTGTCTGTATATAGCTTACTGACCCTGGAACTGTCCCTGTATATAGCTTACTGACCCTGGAACTGCCCTGTATATAGCTTACTGACCCTGGAACTTCCTTGTATATAGCTTACTGACCCTGGAACTGTCCCTGTATATAGCTTACTGACCCTGGAATGCCTATGACCTGGAACTGTCCCTGTATATAGCTTACTGACCTGGAACTGTCCTGTATATAGTCTGACCTGGACTGCCCTGTAAGTTACTTGACCTGTATATAGCTTACTGACCCTGGAACTGTCCCTGTATATAGCTTACTGACCTGAACTGTCCTGTAATAGCTTACGACCTGGAACTTCCTGTATATGTACTTACTGGAACTGACCCTGTATATAGCTTACTGACCCTGGAACTGTCCTTTTATATAGCTTACTGACCTGGAACTGTCCCTGATATAGCTTACGACCCGGAACTGCCTGTATATAGCTACTGACCCTGGAATGTCCCTGTAATGCTTACTGACCTGGTAACTGACCCTGTATAGCTTACTGACCCTGGAACGTCTGTATATAGCATTACTGACCTGGAACTGTACCTGTGTATAGCTGCCTGGAATGACTGGACCCTGATATAGCTAATGACCTCTGGAACTGCCCTGTATATAGCTTACTGACCGAACTGTCCTGTATATAGTTATGACCCTGGAACTGCCTGACCCTGGAACTGACCCTGTATATAGCTTACCTACTTTGTCATGTTCGTCTTATTTCTGTTTCTTGTGTGTTTTTGTTCAACTTTTTGTGCTACTGATATTGATTACTGCATTGTTGGGAAAGAGCAAGAAAGGCATTTCACTGTACTAGTGCACGTGACAATACAAACTTGAAGCACACTGAAGTGAAGCAGATATTCGCTTTTCTGGGTGGTGTCCAGTAGAGCAAAAATCTGTTCATAATTGGACAAGTTGAATGATTACTTTTCAATGACAAAACGCTTCAACAATGTTTCCCACCTCCTGAACACGACTCTTCTCTCTGTTGTGTGCCACAGCCCAGACACCATACAACCCCAGTATCTCCACATGGGCACCACACAGGGGGGTCTGGCCATGTCCCTGGGCTCCTTTGCCCCCCACCCCTCGCTGATGGGCACCGCACCCCCGCCACCCCCCTCCATGCCGCACAAAGATGACGACGATGACGATGATGAAGATTATGACTCTTAGCTCCCCCCACTCTTTTACCTTTCATTTTCTCTTAAGTTGTTCTCTTGTGTGGCTGCATTGAGAAAGAGGTGGGCCTGGGGAGACGCTCACATGCAGCTCATTGTTCAGGAAAAGCCTCCAACAACTGTCAGTAAGGCGCGTAGACATGACAGCCGCCACCGCTGAAGACCAGTAATCGGTTGTATATTATGTTTTAATTTTTTTCTTATTTTATTGTGGAGAATTTGAACCAGGTTGTTTTTTTAAGACAGGTGTTCGTTCTATTTGGACTACCAAAAAAATAGCAGTTGATGCTTTGAAAAGGCCATGGCCCAGCCCAAGGACAGGTTTGATTATGAAGTCCCCCATTGTAGTTTGCACTTTGTTTATTCTCTCTCTCTCTTCTGTTTATGACATTGGTGTTAAAAGAACATATCACTCCAGTTCCATTTCTGCTTTTTTTTTTTTTTTGGTAATTTAGCAGACGCTCTTATCCAGAGCGACTAGTTAGTAACTGCATACATTATTATATATTTTTTTTTTTCATACTGGCCCCCCGTGGGAATCGAACCCACAACCCTGGCGTTGCAAACGCCATGCTCTACCAACTGAGCTACATCCCTGCCGGCTATTCCCTCCCCTACCCTGGACGACGCTGGGCCAATTGTGCGCCACCCCATGGGTCTCCCGGTCATGGCCAGCTACGACAGAGCCTGGATTCGAACCAGGATCTCTAGTGGCACAGCGATGCAGTGCCTTAGACCACTGCGCCACTCGCTTTCAACGTCTGCTCAGGTTCGGTTGAGATCCACAAACTGTAACACCTGCGCAGCCCTAACATAGCCTCATAGAATACTGTACACACAGACACCTACTTGATGATTTCAGAGCAGCAGTTAGTAGTATTTTAAAAGTGATCAGCACTTGCCTATAGGAAAAGGAGATGAGATTATTGTCTGTGAGGATTAGCATGAATTTGGCAGAGTGGCAGGCTTGGCATCCTCGCCAACTAGTTTGATTGTTATGCTACATAGGCTCTCAACAAATGGGAAAGGATATGTATTTTACTAAAGGTTAAGAATTCTTGTCAATACATTTTTTCCCTTTTAATTCAACTTTTTGTGACAATTTATCTTCATGAAGAACTTGACCGGTGGCTTACTTCAACCATATTCACATGTAATTATGCTAATGATAACAACTCCAATTGGATGTTCTTGTTTGTTCATTTGAGATTTGGGTGACAAGTCACTACTTTGGAGGTATGACATGAAATATGTTGTTTTGTACCCCCTCACCCCAACCATCTTCTTGAAGACCAAAGTGTCTGTGCTGGCTAATCTTATCTGAATGATACTGTGATGCTCCTCCTGAACCATAACTTTGTTTTTAAAGTTGTTAAACCCCTCCCCCTTCCTCCTCACCTATAATTTGTTTTCAAGAAGATATCGTACCCTCCTCCCCCCACTTGGAATAAAATTCTCCTTTGTATTACGTGTTGTACTTTCTCTCTCTTTTAGATTGTTTTAATGTACACATTAAAAAGCATAGAGGGATAGGGTTTCTGTGTCTGTCTTGATATGAAATGTTTAAAGGTAGGCAGTTGAACTTGACGCTTTATGTAAACTTTTAACATTATTTTTTATGGGTGAAATAAAGTTCAGATTTCAATAAAACACCGGCAACTTTTTATTTATTTCAGATGTTTTACCAAACGTATCTGTGACATTACAAGCCATGATGCCATAAACTGTTATTGAGTCCATTGAAACTGGCAATGAACTTAAATCCATTGGCATATAAGCAAAACATTGCACAAAGCTTCACCTTACGGCTTTACAGTAGTGTAAAACATCCTTTGTGTTCAACCCCACCCTGCTACCCATATTCTCTTGGCTTCACATTCCTATATGGAAAATCTGTATTTCTCTCTAAACAGCCTTCATGTCTCCAAAGACTTCCTGAGGGTTGTGCCAGACTCCCAGGCATGGACAAAAGAAATGGCCAGGCCGACCATGCATTAGTTGTCAGTACTCCTATGAAGTGTGTATAAACTTTTAAACAATGGCCGTTTGTCACCATAGCTGATGGGTCTTTGCCTGTCAAGGTCATGTCATCAACAACAGAGTAGGAAAGGTGATTGAAGTGCAGGCCAGCACAGGTCTGATCTGTGGTAGAGGTTCCCATGGAGAGAAGATTTCTTTGATTAGACACTGCACAGAGGAAATACTCTTTCTATTGTCACTGTGTGTGTGCACCTCATCCTCTGAGTTTGGTTTCATATTATATATGTAGCAACGGGCCTGTCTCGGCCACAAAAACAACTGCATCCTTCCTGCACAAGCAATGAGTCAGCGCTTGTTAGCATGCGATGGTGTTTGGCGAGGGGGGGTGGGGGGGGGTTGACTTTAGGAGGCGGCGGAGCAACAAGCGCCTGCCACAGCGCAGGGAAGCTATTAAAGGCCCTAGTCATAGACTGATCTCTCTGCTACCGCACGGCAAGCGGTACCGGAGCGCCAAGTCTAGGTCCAAAAGGCTTCTTAACAGCTTCTACCCCCAAGCCATAAGACTCCTGAACAGCTAATCATGGCTACCCGGACTATTTGCACTGCCCCCCCACACCATTCCCCTCTTTTACGCTTCTGCTACTCTGTTTATTATTTATGCATAGTCACTTTAACTCTACCCACATGTACATATTACCTCAATTACCTCGACTAACCGGTGCCCCTGCACATTGACTCTGTACCGATACCCCTTGTATATAGCCTCCCTACCAGTGGCGGCTCCTGAAAAAATTCTCAGGGGGGGCAATTTTTTCTGATGATTTAGGCCTGACCTACAACCAGTTTAAAAAAAGATATGTCCAGCAACAACCATGAAGACAGGGGCAGCATATAAGTCAATGCCAGAAGCATTTATTGACTGATCTCAAAAGTGTTGGCTTACAAAAGCAAAATAAGTTATCACAGTAAAAATAATCAAGGGTGTTCTTTCACATTCCTCAACACTGCATAAACAATATGCATTTCCATAAACAAATGAAATATCAGCTGAAAATACAGCATCTTGTTATTTGTTCAGATTGCAGGATCAACAAGAGCTTTTACCACATTTTTTGCCTCATGGTTGAATTGGAAATATGTGCACCTGAGCATAATTCACAACAAGCAAGCAGGAGCTTTTGATAGAGGCTACTGAAAACATTGATGCAAGTTATTGGTAATAAGACATTTTTATAGACTTCCATATTCTGCCCTCTTGTATAGATTTGTGAAAATGAACAGTGATAGACATTTTGCCTGAAAACAGAATTTGAAAATAATTTCTAGAAAAGGTAAACACAGCTATCTGTATGGCTTTGTAAAAATGAACAACCATATTCTGGCCAATTGTATAGATTTGTAAATATGAACAACCATATTCTGGCCAATTGTATAGATTTGTAAAAATGAACATGAACAGATTTTTATTTTATTTTTACTTTTAAAAAAATGAAAAATAACTATTTTAAACAACATCAACTGTGAACTGATTTGGGCGTGTGTGTGTTAAAGAGACAGACAGGGAGGGACAAAGAGAGAGAGAGAGGCTACATTACTTGTACTGAAACTGTTCTCTTCTCTCTTTCAATGCAGCAAAGCGGTCAATGACTTTCTCATTGAAATCAGGCATGCTGAGGACTAGTTCCCTCTCCATGGAAAGCATGGCCAGTGCATTCAGACGTTCCTGGCCCATTGAATGTCGCAGGAATGTCTTAACTCGTGTCAAAGTTGAGAAACATCTCTCAGCTTCAGCTGTTGTCATGGGAGTAGTTATGAGGATGTTCAACAGAGTCACAGTCTCAGAGAACGTCTCCTGGAGGTTGTAGCTCATGAGAACCTGGTACAGTGCCAGTGCACCACAGTTTGACTTTCTCGTCGTCCGCAAAAAGACTGTTCAGTCTCTCCAAAAGCACACTGGCGATTGAGACTGAGGTTGATTCCGAGATGGGAAGGAACTCAAAAAAGCGCTCCTGCACTTTGTGGTTGCTATCTATGTACCTCAGCACAAGCACCAGCTGTGTCTGTGTAGAAACGTCCGTGGTCTCGTCAGCTTGGATAGCTACGAAGTTCGCCGACTTCACCTCCTCCACAATATGTTCCCTCATGACCGCTAGCATACACTCCAGTAGCTCGTTTTGAATGGTCTTTGATGTGAACTTCTTTCAAAGAGACAATCGAGTTCCACTGAACGCTAGCCATCTTTTGATAGTAGTACGTGAATTGATTGACGCTGCTACCCGCTCTTTTCTTAGTTACGTTCATGGTTATGTTACGTATGACGAAAGCGCGTAAGTGCAAGCCCTCAGAAACCCACAGAGATTGTATTTGAAGCTCTGATATTTGAAAAAAAAAGATTTTACATGAGAGGCTATGACAGACTTCTGGGGCGATTTTCAACCTGACTGAAATCGCCCCAAAAGGGGCGGGGCCATTTGAAGCACGACTTTAGCCTGATTGGACATTTAGTGGCAGATCAGACGTCTAGATTAGAACACTGATAACTACTGTTGCCGTGATATAATTGATTAGAAAAAAAATCCCTTCCTTTTCCCGTTTGGCAGTGCGTCGCCCATATCACCCTAATGAACACACCGCCCCTGCTCCCTACTGTTATTTTATTTTACTGCTGCTCTTTAATTATTAGCTCTTTTTTACTTAACACTTAAAAATATATATATTTTCTTTAAAACTGCATTGTTGGTTAAGGGCTTGTAAGCATTTCACTGTAATGTCTACATCTGTTTTATTCGGCGCATGTGGCAAATACATTTTGATTTGATTTGAAAGACCTCACAGAAGGACCAACACTGTTTCCACACAGCAGCACAGGTCAAAGGTGGCTTCAGAAATGGCTTTATAACATTTTCCAGACTGATGGATCTCAATTACTTACTTTCTCATTTGTTCCTGAATTACTTTGGATCTCTGCATAATGTCTAGCTTTTGAGGATCTTTTGGTCTACTTCACTTTGTCAG